AAAGGAGGAAAAGGAGGAAATGTTACAACACACCAGACACTGCAAATGGATTTGGGAGAGCAGAATCCCAGCCTGAAGCATCAGCTCCTTGACCCCAGTGCCCACCTTGTCCCCTCCATCCCTGCCAACCCCACCAGCCCTCAGCACACCAAGAGCAGCCACCCTGTCCTCCAGGCTTTAAATGTGGCTAAAATGCTTGGTTGTTGGCACTAAAGACTCAAAAAATCTCTGTATTCCCTCCTCGTGCTCCCAGCCCCACCACACCCCTGCACAAGGAGTGTTACTCAAAAGGGGGAATTTAAATTGGGACAGAAAGAGAAAAACCAATATCCTGCATGTGTTTTGTGTGGAGCCAACAGGAGAAAAAGGTGATTTTTGTAAAGTTTTGCAAAAGGAGAGGTGTAAAAACCTTTCATCTTTACAAAACTTTGCTAACATGGTTTAGCTGATACTTGTTTGTTATTAAATCCCTATGATGGGAAAACTCCATTTGCCTCAGCGTCCCTTGGAACTCTGTGACACCTCACAAAGCACCTCCCAGGCTGAGGCTGAAATATTTGGGTAGGAAAAGGGTCATTAATTGAGTAGCACTGTACTGGTGTAACTAAAATGCATCATTTGAGAACTGCTCATCCTCCTTTGACATTTCCAGGGAATTGGTACAACCAGCACTGTCATTTTCCACACGAGCAGTGCAGGGAGTAAAAAACATCCACAGCAGCACCTTTAAATCAATTAAGGAACATGACAATAAGGAATGAATAAATAGAGGAGCTGCTATTTTATGTGAAAATGCAATTTTTGGTCTGTGTTGCTGCGCAACCAAGTAACTCAAGACATGGCAATGCAGAAAATGATATGAGGTGCTTGGAGTGCTATTTATAAAGGCCAAGATCAATCTTGTACTCACTTCCTTCCCCGAAATTTATCCAAAATAAATGCTGAAGCACAACCTCAAAGTGCCTGATAGCAAATCTGTCCTCTGGCAAGCTTTAACCTGCAATTCTGCTTTTTCCAGAGGTGGTTCTTGGAAGCAAAGACAGGGAACAGGCTACAACAACCCCAATAAACCAACTGAACACAGTAATATTTTCTGCCCTGGGAAAAAAACCTGAGCTCTCTGGTGTTTCTCTGAGGAACACAAACCACTCCTTTCACTGCTCTTCAAGGTCTGAGATCCTGCAAGCATTATAAAGAATAACAGCTCCTGCACACTGAGCCAAAACACTCATTGCTTGAAGTCATCTACTTTGAATATTGACATGGCAGTGTTTGCAAAGTGTATTTTTGACAAAATAATAACAGATGAGATCTTCATAGAACGGCTGTGGCTTTCTTAGTGCTACTGCTGTGGAATTTCAGAAGCATTAGTGAGTCTCTGTACTTGGCTCCTTCCTTCACATTGCCTTGCTTTGATCCCTGGCATTTCTCTGAGCTTACAAAAACAGCAAACCCACCCCAACCACTAAAAACCACTGCAAAGAACAACAAAAAAATCAGATGCGTGTGCTCACACACAAATTCTTTTCCGTCTGCACAAAAATAAACGGGAGTTATTATAAATAAGGCTGGGTATAAACATCCCAGGCTTCCCCCAGGTTGTGGTGGCGTGAGAAAAGCCAGAGGCTGTGAGCAGAGGGGGTTCAGGAGCACAGGGAGAGGCTGCAGCTCCATCCTGCAGTGAGAAAAGGAGATTCAGGAGCACAGGGAGAGGCTGCAGCTCCATCCTGTCACAAGCAAAGAGGATTTAGGAGCACAAGGTGAGGCTGCAGCTCCCTCCTGTCATGGGCTGAAGGGATTTAGGAGCACAAAGTGAGGCTGCAGCTCCCTCCTAAAGTGGGAAAAGGGGATTCAGGAGCACAAAGTGAGGCTGCAGCTCCATCCTGTCATGGGCTAAAGGGATTTAGGAGCACAGGGAGAGGCTGCAGCTCCATCCTGCAGTGGGAAAAGGGGATTTAGGAGCACAAAGTGAGGCTGCAGCTCCATCCTGAATTGGGAAAAGGGGATTTAGGAGCACAAGGAGAGGCTGCAGCTCCATCCTGCAGTGGGAAAAGGGGATTTAGGAGAACAAGGTGAGGCTGCAGCTCCCTCCTGTCATGGGCTAAAGGGATTTAGGAGCACAAAGTGAGGCTGCAGCTCCCTCCTGAAGTGGGAAAAGGGGATTCAGGAGCACAAGGAGAGGCTGCAGCTCCCTCCTGCAGTGATAAAGGGGATTTAGGAGCACAAGGTGAGGCTGCAGCTCCCTCCTGCAGTGGGAAAAGGGGATTTAGGAGCACAAAGTGAGGCTGCAGCTCCATCCTGCAGTGATAAAGGGGATTTAGGAACACAAACTGAGGCTGCAGCTCCCTCCTAAAGTGGGAAAAGGGGATTCAGGAGCACAGGGAGAGGCTGCAGCTCCATCCTGCCCTGAGC